AAAAAAAAAAAGAATATTATTTCTTGGCAACTCAGTTGCAACAGATGATGTTCAGTTCCTTTTGAAGTAAGTTTCCAATTTTCTTCTCCTGCTAAGAAATGAATGAGTCTGTCTTGGACTGGATATGCACACACACACACACACACACACATTTCTATAGATCCTTTGCATCCCCTTGTTAAATTTGTGCATCTGAAAGGTTTGTAGTCTAAATACTGAAATACACTAAGAGCCTTTTATTTAGTATTTGGCTCCATAATCTTAAATCTTCTATTCCCATTATTCTACAAAAAATAAAATGAAATAAAATAAATAAAATAAAATAGGAATCTGCTCCCACTGCTCATTCTTCCCTCCCTCAGTAATATCTATTGTGCTATTCACAAACTGTCAGAATGACCCACTTCACCTGTTGCATCTTTTTTCGACATCCAGTATCCCACTCCCCAATATTTCTATATTATGGCATGACAGACCAGCAGATTCCTGGAAGACAGTGGCAATGTCAATGCAACAGCAAGATATAATTTGATTTTTAACTCTTTCTCCTCTGTTCCTTGGCCAGGATCCAAACAGCAAATAGCAGAACACCATGCTCACAATAATACTAATCAGCCCTATCTTTCTGCTGCCACCCCATCTCTTTCCCTTTCCTTAAAGCCACTTGTGAAGGCCAGATGATCCTTCACTGTGGTGTGTGAGTGCAATGCAATTGCAGAAATTGGGAACCACTCTCTGCACACATGGCGCTGCCTTCTGCTCCTAAACAGGGATCATGCGCTCTCTTTACAGACCCCTCGTAGTTGCCTCCGTATGTCCATCAACTTGATACAAAACCAGAATGAGTCCAAGCAATGAGTCCAGAAATGCCCATCCAGAACTGTGTTTATCCAGAAGTTTAATGGTGAAGAATACTAGAAGAGATTTCTTTAAAGAATCTACTTGGAGACCAGAGAGGATGACCTGAAGGCAGCACTATTAGGTGCTTTAGTCACTTCCTGCTTCTTCTCTTCCTGCTTCTTCTACACATAGAGAAGTCCAGATCTGCTGTGCTTGTATCTACAGCAATAGAGAATCTTATGGCTAGTTGGGAAGATGGCTGGAGCTCTGCTTGACATTGACTACAAAGTGCCTACTTTCTTAACAAACCTAGCTGATGTTAGTGCTGTGGTGAAACCTATCCTCCAGCTTTTCAAGAAGTTTTCTTCCTCGTTCTTGGGGTGCTTTAACATTTCTGCAGAGTTTCAAGGGTGTGGGGTTGAGCTTACTTTATTGTCACAAAGCATTCGAAGGTGGAATGAGATTTCTCTCTTCTTTCCACTAAACGTTTCTCCAGTGTGCAACAGGCTCCTCAGCTGCTCATATTTCTTGATTTGACAAAGCCTTGTGGGATAAGTTAGGTCATTAGGTCTTTAACTGAAGTGCAGGAAGGTGGGAGGATGGGTATGCCCTCCAATTTTGTTTATAAGGGAAGTTCTTCCTTTTACTTCAATATAAATCTACCCTTATGTGTGGACTGGAAGCTGCAGCTAGTGCAGGATGCAGCATCTAGGCAGTTATGTGGTGCACCTGGCCACTGCCATGTAACACTTTGGTTGAAAGAACTGCACTGACTGCCAATTTCTAATGGGCTAGGTTGAAGGTTTTGGTATTAACCTAAAGTACCTGGGACTGGGATAACTGAGAGAACACATTATCCCATATCAACCCATCCAGGTACTGCAGTGATCAGAGGTCTTTCTGGTTACACAATAACCTGCAGATATTCATCTGGTAGCAACCAGGAACAGGGCCTTTTCTGTGGTGGCACTAGGGATGGGGGAGAAATTTGATTCACTTTGAAAGGAAAGATGATGAACCTACCAGATCTGGACTTTCTGAAATAATGTGAAACAGCAAACCGAAAAGACATCTGTATTTTTACTTTTGTACACCACCTGGATATGTTTTGCACAAATAAATATAGTAAATATTTTAAATTAATTAATAATAATATGGGCTGCAGTTCTTCACTTAAAAATATAAGAGTCAAATGCTGCCAGGCACATGGTAGCCAACCTTCTGGCTTTTCCACCAAGCTATGGGAAGACCAGCCAACATGCCTTCTTTACAAAGTATGATAGGAAAGGAAATTTAAACTAACCTTCTTTCCAATTCAGGAATATAAACTGTTGCATATCTAGGTGCTTGAGCTTTTAGAAAGTAGATATTTCAAGATCCCATTATGCAGTAATTACTGCCTAAAGTGCTTTTTTTTTTAAATAGCAAGGCATTTTAAACATTCAAATAAGCATGGAGAGAGGGGGCAATCCATACCATGTATTTTATACTCTCTCTTAATCTGAAAAAAGGACATAAAACTAAGCTCAAATGGTTTTTCTTTAAAAAACCCCCAAAACCAGCACATTTTGCGACTGTTAAAACCTAATTGATATTTTCCTACAAATCCCTCCTGAAATAAAAAGGAGTTAAAATGAAGAGTGAGGGGTTTTTTTACTCTAAGGTGTGGTACCAGCAGCACATATAGGCAAGAAAACATTGCTTAAGAATCTGCTCATTTAAAAGCTGCAAAATAATTCTTTTTTTAAAACACCTTCTCAAGAAACATAAGAGACCTCTTAAATGCACAGCCTTATTGCACTGCAGATTTATCCCTGTAGCAGCCCCATCTGATATATCTTTTTGTCAGCTCCCCCATTCAAGATGGGATCATCTTAAAAGCCATTGACATAAATTGTTGTGGAGAAGATCGATTAGTTTAAAAGGTTTTTCCTTTTAACAGATCAGATAGTCATTATATTTCACCATTTGGTATATGGAATTTCCATCGAATACTTCAGCGTTTAATCACATATTTAAACACTCATTCACTTCAACGAATTTACCAAAATCACAGCTTCACACTGTGCAGTCAACGTGTCTTCTGTTGGTTTAGATTCTGCGTACTGCACTTTACATGAACTTGCAGACTATTTTGCCCCATTTCTTTAATGCAGCATTTTACTCTGAGTTCCTACAATTGAGCTTAATTGGTCACATTACCTGCATAATACTGCAACACATTAAACCGAAAGCTGGTTCCAACCAGCCTTTTGGACAGCAGTGCCTTCTGACATTTGTACTATTACTGTCTCATTCAAGGGTACCCAAGGCAGAGAACTTCAGGTGTTGGTGGACTCTGTTACCCACCAGTCCCAACTAGGGATGGAATTATCTGTCAATTTCAGCTCTCTAGGTTTCTATTTTTTTAAAAAATCTTAAATTCAGTTCACCACATTTCTACAGCAATTTGATTTATAGGGGGGGGGGGAAATCTTCATGGAAATTCATCAGTATTTTAGTGTGGATTTGTCTTAATAAACACATTTTTGTATGCAGTTTTGCATAATGTACACATTTCTACGAGCAATTTTCCAGAAAGCAAGGCATTTTTGTATGTTATTTTCACATGTATGTTCATTTTTATGCACACTTTGCCCTAATATATGCAGTTTTGTAAACATTGGTTGGTTGGAGAAATGCATCAGAAAATTCAGGTAAGTGTGAATTTTGAAGGATGGCTTTTGGTTTGCATACTGTTTTCAGAAAATACAGATCTTTAAACATAAACTGACTCAAACTTCTTCCCCATCCCCAGTCCTAGCCAGCATGGCTAATCACAAGAGATGATGGGAATGGGAGTCTAGCAACAATTGGAGGACACCACATTGAGTATCACTTCACTGAAGGGAAGTCAAGTTGGGGTTGGGGTGGGGCTTTGGACTAGCTAGTTTGTGTATCTACTGTTCATATTTCTACATTGTAGAAATACTACAATAATATGTGCACAGTAAATCAGCACAACCTGTGACAGAATTGGCTAACTAAAGGCCAAAGTATGCATTAGTGGGAGAACCATGATTGAATCTCCTGACATTTCAAACCTGAAATACAGCCCTGGGCAATGGGGAATTGGGGTTGGGAGAGACTGCAAATCTGCTTGAAGCAGCAGCAAGGCAAAGACAGTATCTATTGAGAAGGGTGCTATTGTTTTGCTTTGTTTTTGCTTTATTATGTATTCCGTGTTTTCCTTTTGTATTTTTATGTTGTGATCGTCAGATAAAGGGCAGCATACAAGTTTAATAAATAATATTAACAACAACCTTCCTCAGGCATGATTTTCACTCCTCTCTGCCATGGTAGTTGTTAGCCCCACATAAAGGGAGGGATATAGAAGTAACATGTAGATGAAAAGGGTTACTCTCCTCTCCCAAGTGTCCCTCAAGGAAAGTACTGTACTTAGGACTATCTCCTAATTCAACTGTAGGAGTAGGTGATTCTGATTTGATACTATGAGCATTAAAACAAATGAAGCAATACAGCTTTCAGCAATTCTGTGCATGGTGCTTTAAAATGGCAATGTGTATTCTTCACAAAATATAAACTAACAACTTCATTTACGTACAAACTAATGCTATTGTGAGTGTGCATGCATTTGAAAGAAACTACAGTATTATTTTGTATTTATTTACTCCTTAGGACCACACATGAAATATATAAAATGCAATATGCTTGCTGTGTGACTCAGAAGGGGAAAGAATTTGTTATAAATGAACCGTCAAGAAAATAACAATGATCTGTGTTCTCTTGCTGAAATCCATGTTTTCAGCGGCACACTCAACCGTCTGTTTCAAGAACGGCCCATGTAACAATTTATGCACCCTTGTGTGGCAGCAACCCTGCAGCTCACAGTGTTCATCAGTCTTCAGGATCAATATGAGCATGGCAGAAGAAGCTGCCTCACTTTTAGTACCTAAGTGTAGGTAATATTGACTCTTCTAGACTGAACTCACAGGCAACTGTACCGGCATAGCAGGGCATAACGTAAGGCACATAATCCTGGGCATTCATTCAAACTGCAAGACCACAAATTGCTAAGACCACAAATAGCCAGAAGCCCTTGCCCAAATACAATACCATTGGTAAAATTGTGGAGAAGGTAGAGAATATACAAACTTGGCCCTCCAGCTGTTTTGGGACTACAGTTCCCATCATCCCTGGTCAATGGTCCTGTTAGCTAGGGATGATGGGAGTTGTAGTCCCAAAACAGCTGGAGGGCCAAGTTTGGTCACCACTGCCCTATGGACTCTTCAGGCTGCTGCCATTGTACATCACTAAAGCAGATTGATAGGCTGCCTCAGATAATTCACAAAGTAGCTTAGTTTTTACTGGCCACAAAAAAAAAAAAGTGATTCATGAAATGCCTTATTTATTGCTAAGATCATTTGTAGATGTCATAAACATGTATTTATGCTGCAGTAAACAAAGTGGGTACACACAAACACTTGTTCCAAGTTCCAAATGACTTTTAGACCAAACAAGGCCTTAAAAGTGGTTTTTTTAATAAACCTACTTTGCCCTAAGAACGCTGTTCTAATGATGGTGATAAATATAGTTTCTAGGTCACATCTCATTTATTTTCTCTACTTTATGTGTTTACTTCCACTATATTCCCAAATAATCATATAACTTAACAATTCAAATGCCAAATTACCAATAGGGAATAAGAAACAAAAAGCAAGGTAAGGATTAACTAATAATAAAAGGACAAAAATGAACAATAGTTTCCTGTGCTCTAATTAGCTTTTTTTCAAAAGAGAGTGCTATCAACTGGGTATTAGTTTTAAAGAATAAGAAGCATCCAGAATGTGGAACAATTGAAGAATGAGTTACTCAAAAGGAATCTACCAGTGCATGTTAAAGATGTTCAAGTGGGTTAGGACTTGGGAGATCAGCAAAGTCCTCATTGCAGTGTAGACATGTTCAACAAATCTGATAAGAACAAGGCGCTCCCCCCTTTAATTCATGCAGCATTCAGGAAAGTAAAACATAAAGTGAACTGTGGGGCATTTCTAACAAATAATGGCATGTAATAAGTCTCTTTATTACAAAGAACAGATACTATTAATAAATAAATCACAAACAAACATTGTGGGATATTAGACCAAAACTCTGGTCTCCAGAAAGTGTTGTCTACCACTGGAGTTTTGTTTTTGTTTTTAAAAAATGTATTTATAATGTGCCAGTAAACCCCATATCCTGTCTTGATCAAACAGCAGAAGGTAATTGAGTTCACTCAATCAAGAAGAGAAGAGTTTGGATTTTATATCCCGCTTTATCACTAACCGAAGCGGCTAACATTCTGCCTTCCCTTCCTCCCCCACAGCAAACACTCTGTGAGGTGAGTGAGGCTGAGAGACTTCAGAGAAGTGTGACTGGCCCAGGGTCACCCAGCAGCTGCATGTGGAGGAGCACACTGGAACTAACTGTAATCACCAGATTATGAGCCTACCACTCTTAACCACTACACCACCCTGGATCTCTCAATCAAGTACAGCTCACTGCAGTTCTCTGCAGATTGGTAGGAAACTACAGGGCATCAGAAGGAAAATGCCATCCTCTTTTTCACCCTCCTCTGTTTCACCAGATTCAGACTCTCTTCATGCACTGTTTGTTAGTGTCACCTAAAAATGCAAAATGTAAATGCTCTGTACATGTGCTTCATTCAAGTATAATTTTCCCAGCAGTTAGTGTTGGACTATAGCATCTTCTTGAATGCAAACTTGTGGGGCAAACCTAGAACAAGGGTTGTAGCTCAGTGGTAGAATATTTACTTTGTATGCAGAATGTCCCAGGTTCAATTCCTGGCATCTCCAGGTAGGGCTGGGAGAGGCTTTTGCCTCGAAACCCTGGAGAATGGCTGCTTGTCTGTGTTGGATAGACCTGAGTTAGATGGACCAGCGGCCTGAGTCGCTGTAAGACAGCTTCCTATGTTCCTGTTTTGTGCTGCGTAATGTGAGAAACAGCCCTCAGAGTTTTGTAGAAGCAGAATGGGTTGGACTTCCAGCAGCCAAATAAACAAATAACCCCAGTTGTAAAAAAAAAAAAAATGAAACTCCCACTTGTCATCTTCATACCATTAATTTCCTGTTACAATGGATATCCTAAGCACATGGTTCCTCAGAGTGTGTCCAATACTGTTGTAATATTTTATCTCTCCAGATGTTTCAAGCTCCCCTGCTGTAATATGCTGTACAACAGTACTGAGGTTTGTACTGTTACATCAATGTCAATGTGATTAAGAAAATGGTGATTTGTACCTTTTGTACCATTATTATTTTTTTTTTTAGTGGTAGCCTGCTGCTCCTTCATATGCTCATAATTATTAACCAATCAGTGTCTCAGGTGCATGGCTACAGTTAACCACAGCTACCAGAGGTGTAGCAGTAGGTTTTGAAGTGAAAGAGCTCCTTATGATAGCCCTCATAGTATGCCCCCACTCAGGAGTGTCCACAGCCATGTCAGTTGTCTTGATGCATACATACCCCAAAAAGCATCGTTACATAGAATGATAATCTCTTATTAGGGCCAGCTGACAATTGTAGAATAGTGAGCTGGCCAAGGATGGGTAGATGCTGGCCAGACAGGTTTAGATTCACATCCCCCATCAGCCATAAATTTCTCTGAGCGATGCTGGGCCAGTCTCTGATTGAGCCTAGCCTACCTTAATAAAGGGAACATTTGCCCGACCAAGCCTATCTTCCAGTTTCCTCACCACCCCAAGCTGACAGCATTGGCAAATACTGTTGACAAAGAAGATGTAATTGATCTCATACCATTGAGCTACACTTCCCTATGGCCCACCTCCCCTACACTACTGTCGGTCACAGTAGAGTCACGTACTTTACCCCCTTCCTTGAATTCATTTATACAATAAATGTTTAAAAAGGTGTATTAAAAGGCAAACCAACAATTTGGTGGCTATGCCGTTTCAGTTTCCCCAATGCATCTGAAACATTTAATACACATAAGTCGAATTATCGATGGGTCTGTGAATTATGGCTGGACCATCTGTAAACAAAGTTCCACAGAGAACTAGTCCAGGTTAAATCTTTTCATGTGTTTGGACCTGCAAGCAGGGTTTTGTTTTGTTTATAGCTTGAACTCAATGGAACTCAGTTCCGGCACCTCTCAGGTGAGCACCATTGCCATGACAAGAGAACAAGGGAGGCGTTCGTGGTGAGTTTTTACATTTCTCCCCTCACACATCTGCCACAGAAGGAGAAGTATTGAGGAGCAGGAGGGGGCAGCCAGGCCATTTATAGCCTCCACTCACTCCTTAACTCTACTGGCAATTGCCAGCTTTATCCAGAGATAAAATGGCTTCTCGCTCTACTTACCCTCCCCCGCCCACAAAAGCACTGCCATCTGGATCCCTTTTGGGACTACATGGTAGGGAGCAGGGTAAACTAAAAAACATTGTCTGAAGTTCCTCACAGAGAGAATTCCCCTGTGATTGCAGGGGGAATAATATAGATTCAACCAAGTTACATCAAGTATATGACACTTCCAATTTTCTTTAAATCTAAACTGCCTTTTTGTGATATTCTAATTATCTGCTTGAATTATGTTCCAGTTATAGTCAAACTGCTGTAGTTGACAGTACTCTTCTTCTTCTTCTAAAAAAATAGTGACATGTACACACCAATAAACCAGGAGACAGTTTTGCAAATTGACACAGATAACCCAGCCTTTGCCAACATCCTTAGTGGCAGAAAGTGTGTAAACATCCTTCGCAAGAGGCAACACTGGCAGGAGAATTGAGCACAATGGGGGAAAAAATTCAATGCATTTTAATGAGAGCCTGAACTCGATGAAAGAATCATAAAAAGATATCCCCCCGCTAAAACAATGGCAGAGAAGGCCAGGAGAACAGCTTAGCTACTTGTATAACATGTTATGTTATTGAAATGACTGAAACATAAAAAATAATAGAAAAGGGCATGACAATAAATGCCGCATACTAACTTCTACAAGAGTTACAAAGGTGCTTTGGTCATTAATGGGAGACTTGTGGGTGCATTAGCTTATTGGTATTCATTTCAAACAAATCAAATGTATACAGCTAATAATTGTTTTTGGCTCGATTCACATGACCCTATATTACAGCTTGGATTTTAAAGAAAGGGACTCTGACAGAAAGCAAAATTCTTTGTTTTAACCAAATGTATTATATCAGCAGGCCCCACACAGCTTCCATCATAAGCATGTAGGATAAATCAATTTTCCATAGTATTCAACAATGCGCCGCTTGTTTCCAAGACATTCTTCAGCTAAAAATCTTTGCATCAGCAGGATCCCCCCTTCCTTTTTACACATAACCATATTATGAAGAAAAAGAAATTCTCAAATGCCAATTTGTAGATTCAGAGAAATAGTGTAGGCAAAAAAGATAACTTTTATTGGGTATACAAACTGTAGCAGTTAAAAGAAACACGCTTATGAGCCATAAGGGTCTCTTTTTTTAAAGCACTAGTTTCCCACAAAAACTGGAATGGACTGAGCATTGTTATATATCTCAATTTGACGTCTTGTCATGTTGTTCCTTGGAGGCAGTGCTTTTTTTCTGGGGGTAACACATTTAGTGTATCTTTATACTTCTGTTCATTTACTGTATTTATTTTCCCCAATTTGAACTATAAAATGGTGATTTTCTTGAGTCAAAATGAGAGTACTCCTAAACATTTTTTCTAAGAAAAAAAAGCACTGCTTGGAGGTATATGTAGAGTTGGAGTAAGATGAAAGTGATTCACTTAAATTTAATCTGGCCCAATTAGAAGATCCAAAAAGAAGCATTTAGGTACATCATTTGGTGCTTAGATCATATGATCGGGAAGAAAATTATTTTTGTGTAAAGGTAAAGGTAAAGGTAAAGGTAAAGGGACTCCTGACCATTAGGTCCAGTCGTGGCCAACTCTGGGGTTGCGGCGCTCATCTCGCTTTACTGGCCGAGGGAGCCAGCGTACAGCTTCCGGGTCATATGGCCAGCATGACTAAGCCACTTCTGGCGAACCAGAGCAGCGCACGGAAATGCTGTTTACCTTCCCGCCGGACCGGTACCTATTTATCTACTTGCCCTTTGACGTGCTTTTGAACTGCTAGGTTGGCAGGAGCAGTGACCGAACAACGGGAGCTCACCCCATTGCGGGGATTCGAACCACCAACCTTCTGATCGGCAAGCCCTAGGCTCTGTGGTTTAACCCACAGTGCCACCCGCTTCCCAATTTTTGTGTAGGTGCATGCAAATGAAAAGATCTATGGCTTGTATTCAGTGGTAGCATGACTGGAAATAAGTTCATGCAACTAATCTTTCCCCTCCTGCACTTCTCCCTATAGCCCCCTGAGCCCACCCAAAGACCTCACTGCAGGATCAGGGACCTCTTCTAAACAGAAAGTGCTGTGTTGCTGGGCATTGAAGGGCAAGAGGGCAATTGCCCTAAATCAGGAAGAGACACATCACGAAAAGTGTCTACAGCTGATTCTCTCTCCTACTGTCCATACTATTCAGGGAGTCCCCAACCATTTAGAAAGGCTTTTCAGAGGTGCAAGGAGAAGTGGGGAAATGTGCTGTCAATGGATACAATGCAATGGATTTTCTTACATTAGGGCACCATTATTGACCTGCTAAATGAGATCAACTATCAATCTATTTACCTCATTGTTCTTTCTACAAGCAGGGCCAATCATACACTTTGGGGATGAGTACAAACAGGGCAAGTTCTTGTTAACCCCACACATCTGATAGTTAGCAGTGTAACGTCTTGGAAAATGGAGTTTGCATTGCTGACTAGCATAGCAAATAGTTACAGGCAGATGTATCCTTATCAACGCTGTTGATGGCAACAACACTCTGTGCCAATGGTTGACAATATGAGTTGAACTGAAATAGTTATGAGCTGTAGTGGGAACCAATCAGCCTGAACAACTTGTAATACACTAAGCTAAACACAGCTCATCAGTCACATATATCAGCCTTTTGAGCACTTCCCATCACCATCTTTGCATTCCCAGGCAGGCTACAAAAGTTTCTTGAGTGTTCCGCAAAACATCTTCCGACATGCATGGTAGAGAATCACTGGATTCAGTCTGGTACAGCGCAGGATGTATAAGCTTGGTTTAGACATATTTTGTTCAACTTAAATGTGCTACTTATGAGTATATATTTCATGATAATGTGAACTATTTTTCCAAGTTCTCCAAAACCTGAGGGACACCATTTCATGTTACAGTAGATGAGTTTCACAGCAAAATGTAAAGACCTACTCTTGGAAATATTCCAGATCAAATGTTTAAAAGAGTGGTGCTTTTTTAAAGAGCTTTGCTGCTGCTACAAGTTGATTTCACGCAACATCTATGACAGTCTTAATAACCTTGGGCAAATAGTGACCTTTAAAAAGAAAGAAAAGGCAAACAGATTTGTTCCTTTGGCATGCACAGCTGGCACAAAGAGCCATTAAAACAACTATAATAATGATAATAATCAGACTTCACCATATTACTCATAGGTCTTCCTAATAAGTAACTACATGTGTTTCGAATTTCCCTTCCCCTCCCAAAATAGAAACCAGTCATTTATAAACATCTTAGGTTGTATCTCAGTGTTCTCATGCTCAAGGCATTCATAATATAGAAAATATTCCATTCTCTTAATAATTTTGGAACTCATCTGTATGCAATTCTCAGATGGAAACTGACAGTGGCTATGGTAAGTATAAATCATAATTAAGCTGTTCAGAGTGCATCAATGTACAGCAGCAATGGAGTAGAGTAAAAAGGGTAAGTTGCATACAGGGAACGTGATGAACCTGTGGAGGTT